GGGTCGGAATTCTTACTTATAGAGTATTGAAGTGGTCTCACTCTATTGGCCATTTTTTATTTTTTTTATTATGGCCTTTTATTTTTAGAACGTTGAAGTGGTCTCGTTCTTTTTAAAGAGTGTTGAAGTGGTCTCACTCTTTTGGCCTTTTTTTATTTTTTATCTTTTGGCCTTTTTATTTTTTATATCTTTTGGCCTTTTATTTTTTAGAACGTTGAAGTGGTCTCGTTCTTTTTAAAGAGTGTTGAAGTGGTCTCACTCTTTTGGCCTTTTTTTATTTGTTATATCTTTTGGCCTTTTTTTATTTATTACATCATCGAAGTGGTCTCGTTCTTTTTTAAAGAGTGTTGAAGTGGTCTCACTCTTTTGGCCTTTGTATATTTTTTATATCTTTTGGCCTTTTTTATTTTTTAGAACGTTGAAGTGGTCTCGTTCTTTTTTAAAGAGTGTTGAAGTGGTCTCACTCTTTTGGCCTTTGTATATTTTTTATATCTTTAGGCCTTTTTTATTTTTTTAGAACGTTGAAGTGGTCTCGTTCTTTTTTATAGAGTGTTGAAGTGGTCTCACTCTATTTGGCCTGGCCTTTTTTATTTTTATAGAACGTTGAAGTGGTCTCGTTCTTTTTAAAGAGTGTTGAAGTGGTCTCACTCTTTTGGCCTTTTATTATTTCTTTTGTAAATTTTAAAGTTTACCCCTAAGAGAATTTAACAAAAATTTTAATTTCATTTCTTCTTTCTACTATATAAAAAATCTAATCAAAACGGATTCCTCTAGCTACTACATTTCTCATAAAAATATTCCCATTATTATCGGGTATTTTCCCAGGTGCGAAAACTCTGATATTTTCCCCACTTCTGCACCTTGAAAACGCGGTATAAGTTTGCCCATGCGCAAAAGGTTCATCGCTAATATCAATACCTAAACGTTCACATGTCTGCCCTTGGGCCTTAGTTATAGTCATGCAAAACGCTACTCTTACAGGGAATTGAAATCGCTCGAAACTAACTTGATCAGGTCTGAGATCTTTATAACTATTTCTTACACGACATATTCCAATTCTAATACCGCGATCCGAGGAACCACTAACAGTTTCTGCTTCTATCAAATCTTGGTGTAAACGCCTAACTATCATTCTGGTACCGTTACATAAACCTTTTTGAGTATTTAAATTTTGTAATAATACTATTATTGCTCCCACCTTAAGCTTTATATTATGGGCGGGCATTCCTATTGGCGTAAGTCTATTTAATTGAACTACGTCATAATCAGCCAAGTTATACGCAAACGGGTTTTCGCTTGTTGGATTATCTCGCGATAAATATATATGAACTGGTGAATCTATTACGTCTATAATTTCATCGTTAATTAAATCTACAATCCTATTTGTCGGAGAAAGAATTAAACGTTTTAAAAGTTCATGAACTGGTGCATCAAAGCCTGTGTTAAATACAAAGTTATACATTTCTTGTCTAGAATTAACTCGCATAGCTAAGGGAAGCATTACAGAATCGCCCACCTGACCTGTTCCTATACTATATAGCCAATCTTTAAACTGTATTTCCGCCGGAATTACTCTCATATTTTGCATTAGTCTATGTTTTTCAAACATTTTATATAAATCAGAAGACTGAATTGAGGCAGCAACTTGTGCTCCAGGAGCCGAGGATTCTCTAACCACAGGCAAAGACTGTTTCCAGTCACCAGAAATAATTACTGTCTTTCCAGCAAAAGGTGTATCTTTAAATTGGGGAATTAAAGTACGGCACAAAATATCAACATTTTCAAAAACAGTCTTATTAAGCATAGTAATTTCGTCAATAACTATCACATTTGCTTCAATAATTCTACGGCCAAAATAACTTTCTAACGGAATAGAGGGAAGGACACCAGGTTCAACGTCTTTTCCAAATCGAAAAGCTGAATGGAAAGTCATACCTCCAGAATAAAAATTTGTGGCAGCTATACCAGTAGAAGCTGTAGCTAATACTTTTTGCCTAAGTTCTCTTAACTTATAAATAACATAATTAAGAAGAAAAGTTTTTCCCGTACCACCATCACCGGAAATATAAAACAATTTATTATTCACAGAAGGATCTAAAACTGATGCCCTAATTAAATTGAAAAAATTTTGTTGGGCTTGATTTAATTGGGCTCTATCAAAAACAGAAACATCAATAGTTTCATCCATTTCATCATCATTTAAGTTATGTGGAAAGAAAAAAGCGTCTAAAGCCCTATCTGGGTTGTTTATAAGAGGATTATCCGGTGAAGGAAGATTAAATTCACCCATATTTCGACCCTGACTCAGCAAAAGCTTTTCAATAAGTGCTAAAGCCCTATCGATACGAAGTGGTCTTTCAGCTTCCGTACATCTTCTGTCATAAAAATGATCAATAAACATATTCCACAAGTACAAACCATCTATTACACATTTTTCAGTACCTCCGAATACAAGTATATTAGCAAATAATAAACGCATTTGCGAAGGATTAAGATAAGTAGATCCTTCTCTTAAAGTCCGTTCCCACACTTCATTGTCTTCTAACAAACCCCTTAATCGCCCTGCTTCGACAAATGTGTCACAAACATAACCGTTAACATTTAATAAAGTTTCATAAGAGCCTGCGAAATGCTTAGTAAGAAGATAAAGTGCAAATTTTTCTGGCTCACGTGGCGACACTGTATAAATCCTGCCAATACGCGGTTTCCTATTTTTATTTTTTGGATCAATTTTCAGTTTTTTCCAAGCTCTTGTATTTTTATTAAATGCATAAGTCTCTGGCATATTTTCAAAAAGGATACTAAATGTAGGGTCTTTATTACATAAATTCCAATATGATGTAAGAGGAGTTTCTGGTAAATCTCCAGAATCAATATTCCCAAGTGTTTGATTAGCTGTTTGGCGAGTAAAGCAAACTCTCTGATTTTCAGGTAAATGAATTGTTAAAGCTAAAACGACATGGGACAAAAATGCATATTTATACGATAATATTCTAGAATACGCTTCTGTCGGACTCCTATAAATCATTCTTGCGTATTGTAAAGGTTCGTCTACGTGTATAAGACCGGTTGTTTCACTACGTACATAGGAAAAACTCGAACCCTTAAATGGATATTTTAAGGCATATTTTAAATTATCAGTTTGTCCGTACGCGAATTCTAAGTTATGGTGACATTCAAACATTACAAGAATAAGCGGATTATAGGGGACTACTCTAGAGTTATCATAAATAATTGTGTGCTTTCCCCTTTTTATTTTTAAAACCTCCCCACCATTTTCCGGGCTAGGCCGCTTATACTCTGCCGGCTTATTTTCGTGTAAAACGGTAATGTTACTAAACGGTTTCGGGAAACCTTTCTTACATTTACCATTTGCTTTCTTACAATGGTCTCCACAATCATGCAACTGGTGATGTTCAATAAGTTCACGAACCTTTCTTATAAAATTAGCCCAAGCAGATTTATCTGCAGTCGGAGGTTCTTCAGGAATATGTGCCCATATTAAATTTTCAATATTTATAGGAGTTGCAGGAATATCAGTACAAAAAACTCGATGTAAATGGGGTCCTCCAATCCGTTTCTGAAACTCCCTACTTTCCCCATAACCTAAGATTTTACCAAAAATATGTTTTTTGTTTAATAAATAATGAAGATGTCTTAATTTATCTTCGTAAATTCTACAAATTATATCAAACCTATCCACTATTTTTTGTTTTTTATGAAATAAATTTCTTTTAATTTCAGGCCAGTGAGGATTACTTGTGAACGTAAACATAAAAGAGGCATTTTCAGACTTTCGCGTTCTAGCCATAATGCATGTTGCGTCATAAAACATGTCCTGAAAATATGGACGCGTTCCTGGGTAATTTTTTCTAAACATAACAATACTCCCAAAATCATTTATGCTTTGTGCCCCACAGTCTCTTGCCAACCACCTTCTAGCTGACTCAGGAGTTGTGGACAGTAAATCTAATTCGGGCCTACGCAAATAAGAGGCATTATCAGAATCTATTCGAGCATTATAATCTAAAGTATATTTTTGACTCAAACCTCCCCCTGAACTCCAAATATTATGATAATCTTCACCTTTTCTTAAGGCCAATCTATACTTAACATAATCACGACAACTAATAGATTTTCTTTTTTTAATTGGAACAAAGCCTACATTATCGTTATCCGAATCATTACTTTCACTTGCATCCTCATCTCTTAATTTTCTAGTAAAAGGGATTGTATTATGATACCCGTCATCGCCACATGGGAACAACAAAGGATAACAAAGAGTATCAGTTAAAGGGTGATGTGGTGAAAATTTAAAAATCTTTCCTTGCTCGTCAGTTATACAAATACCCTTCACAATTGGAGGCTCATCTGATTCGGTGTGTAATGAAAAAAGCGTTTCTTCAGTCGGAAGATTTACTTGTCTAGGATGTAAATTATTAGCCCGAACATCATCAGGGACCTCCCTTTCTTCTAAAAGCACAAGACGGAAATTTTTAATTGCATCTGGACCTTCATTCTGTAATTTTTCTTGATATTGCGTGTGGAAATTTTTATAAATATTTGCAAGGGGATGACATTCTCTTAATAAAGCATCCAATTTTTTTAAAACATCCGGATCAACTCGATCTCCCCCATAAGCAATATTAGACACGCGTTTTTGAAAGGCAGTATCAGCATCTAAAATGTACAGCTGAGAAAATGAGGGTCCTGAATCTCCGGCTATCATAGAACTCATTTTCCTAACAAACTCGCCGTTTAACATGTAACAAATTCCCCCGTCTAGTTTAGTTTCTCGGTGTCCTACGAAAACGGACGCAAAAGCAAGTAAGGAGTTGTAAATATTTTGTTTTTTCAAAAACTCCAAGGAACCTCGTGTATCTGCCCTAGTTAAATCTTTTAATAGAGTTGGATGTGGACTAAAAGGAGGCAGAGAAACTGACCCACATTTACAACAAAAAGAAGACGTAACACGTTTAAACTTGCTTTGATGCAATTCATTAATTTCTGATCTTAACAATAACGCATTACAGTAATAACACTCTGCATCTCCAATGTTACCAGAATCGTAAAAAGTTACAACGTGCCCAGCACGGACATCGGCACATGGAACATCCTTATGGTTTCTTTTACAATAAGAGGATATTTCATATAAGGAGTGCAAATTTATACTCTCAACAGTAACTTCAGAAGCTAAATCATTTTTCATTGTTTTAATTCTTTCTGAGCGTCTTAAATTACGAGGTGGATCAGGCTCCATATCAACTATAGGAAAGTTATTAACAACACAATTATCATGAAAATCATTACCAAAATCGAGATTAAAATTAAAAATATTTTCATTCACAGGTGCATTTCTAGGATTATAATCGAAAATCCCAACATAAGTAATATCATTTGAAAGAATTAATTGTGAAAGGTGCCATAAAATACGCTTCCTCTCATATTGAATATTTAAATTAGGAATTATTAACGATTTATTATTAAATAAAAACAATTCCGAATAAAGACAAACATAAAACCCGCAATTAATTCCATCTCTTTGTTCTGTAAACTGAGAACGGGGCAAAATTTGAATATTTATATTCTCAACAAAAAGACCAGGAGTTAAATCACAAATACACCGTTTAATTAAATCAACACGCCGTTGATCAAAAACACCACAAGAAACATCGGTTAAACGATTTACAGAAGGCAAAGAGTCAACGAAAATACATGAAAAATTATCACGATCTGAACGATCAAAAATTACTAACCCAAAATGACCAGGAAAAATAATTGGAATCAATAAAATATCATAATCCTGGTTATAATTATAACAATTATCAAAAATATTAAGAGGCTCAACACCTTGACCAAAATGGTACTCAACAACAGCAAACTGTGGCGAAACAACAACAACATTTAAATTAGAACGATACGATAAAAATTTTAAATAAATAAAAACAAAACTATCTTGCAACCACACATTAGGATCCGACCACAAACTAATAATTTCGGGCCTTGAAAAACCAATATCATCGGTAAAAATTCTATTTTCAATATTAGGCATTGGACCAAAAGGGATATCTAATAAATCTAAAGACAAAAACTCCGGTTCAACATTCACATTCATATTATCATTAGATGGAACATTAACTATGTTTATACTGTTAAACTCATTCACAAAACTATTATTCATTACACTAACTTTTTTTGGTCTGCCAGTACCCCGCTTCTTTTTTTTAGGTCTACCAGCTTTCGTTCGTTCATATGAAATAACACTATTTTTAGAACTTTCCAGAGAAAAATCAGAAAAATTATCAGACATGCTTTCAAAATCATAATATAAATTATCATTCCCAATATTTGACTCACTTAGATCATTATTTACTACATCACTACTAATCTCGCTCATTTCACAACCAAATACACCACTACCAACTTCACTCAATACACAACCAACTACCCCAACACCAACTTCCTTCATCTCACAATCACTTACTCCACTAACAACAACACTCTTTTCACAACCAACAACCTCACTCTCTAAAGTTAAATCAACCCCACCATCAACCATAGAACTACAATCCATAGAATTACCCTCACCAGTACCATCCAGGGGTGACTTAACATTAAATAAACTACCATCATTGGAAACCCCAACAACCCCGCAACTATTAGTTGCATCACTACCTAACTTACCATCATCCGAATAACGCAACTTACGTTTCCTCCGGTTGTTTTTATCTTTAGAAGGCATTTAAAATAAAGAAAATAAATAAATTATTTAAAATATCTGAAAAAAAAGAAAATAAATTAAGAGCAATTCGCCACAAAACGGGAAAACAATGCAAACTATAAAACGCGATGAGAAGAATCAATAAAAAAATAAAAACACGAATGAGAATAATAACGCGACGGAGCTCGGAGAAAAAAGTTAACGAATCAAAAGCAATAAAAAAATAAAAAAAATGAATTAATATAACAAAAAATAGAGTTGCCAACCGTGTTGAACACGGCTTTCACTCTACGACCAAAATATGTGAAAAGGGAATACTGGTGTCCCAACCATTAACAGCTGGTCAGGCTGAGAACAGTTGAGGAGTCCGCCAGCAGACTATTTTTTCTGGTGCATCAAGCCCACCAGAGGCCATTTTAAATTTGGGGACAGATGTGTGGCATCCCCATCTGTAAAGGATATTTTTAACGTGGTGTGTAACTGGCCCACCACGCAAAACCATTTTTAAAAGGCTGAGTCGTACTGCAACGTTAGTGCAGCCGTTTCCCAGGGGACAATAATAAATTTTAAATTTTGAAAAAAATACCGAAAAAGTTGTAAAAATTTAAATTTTTAAAGAATTTTGCATTTTTGATTTTAAAAATAAAAAAAATAATCCGAAAAAGCCGAAAATATTAAAAACAAAAATATTACGTAACCAAAAGCAAACCACCAAAAAACGATTCAAAGAAGCAGGATATGTTGATCACTAAAATAAAATTTTTATTAAAAATTTTTAAGGTTTTTTAAATTTTGAAAAATTTTGGCATGACCCGTCGGCACAGTGAAGCATCAATACAAGGAGTTATTATTCCCCCAAGTATTGGTGCTCCACGTTCTCATCCCATCCCGTGGGCCTTCAAGGCGAGGACCCGAAACCTTATGATACAGGTTTTTCCACGGGATGGGGCACAAAGGAGAGCTTCCATGCCTCTCTGTGTTTCTAGTGCAGAAGAGGTCATGGATAGTCCCCTTTTTGTGCGGAGGGAAGGGGGAAACTTCCCATACCCCCATAAGGGGAAACGGGCATGTTCCAATCCCCAAATCATGCCGGCTCAGCCCATTTATGGGACAAAACCGGCATGACCCCTACGCACGGACGGAAAAATACATTTACATAAAAAAAAATAAAAAAAAATTCTAAAATAATTTGCAGTTTTTTAAAAAAAATTTTAAAGTTTAATTTTTTCCCAAAAAATGTTTTCAATTAAAATTTTTGAAAAATAAACTTACGAAAAAAGACCAGCACCAAGCATATTGAATAAGGGGAGCAGTAAGTTGAGAAACCTTAAAAATTAAAAAATTATAAAAAAATTAGTTTATTTAAATTAAAAAAAATTTGGGCATGACCCGTCCGCACAAGTGGGGCATCAAGACGCGTATTTGTGCTCCCCCGCGTCTCGGTACCCCACACTCTCCCCATACGGGGGTACAAGATCTCCTTCCCCCGACAGGGAAGGAAACCGGATAGGGGAATAAAAATATTATTAAAAACTAAAACTCACGGAAAAAGAGAACAGCCACCAATCATATTGAAGCAGGCAGCAGTATTGAGACGGCCTAAAAATTTTGAAATAAAAAAATTTAAGATTAATTTAAATTTAGAAAAAATTTTTGGCATGGCCCCTCGCCGTGTAGGTAAAATTGACTGACCATTACATAGTTCCACAAAATGCGGACTGGGGGGGGGGGGTTGAATTTAAAAAAATTGGGCATGACCCTCCCGCACAAAAGAGACTCAAAAAAACAAACCTACATCCATAGGTTGAAAAAATGTAAAAATTTAATTAAAAAAATTAACGAACCCCTGACTTTCGTTCTTGATTAATGAAGACATTCTTGGCATGCGATTATGTTGTAGTTTGTCTGGCCAAGGTCCAACCACTTGCTAAATTTAAAAAATTAAAATTCGAAAAATTTTAATAAATTATTTTAAAGGCTGAAATTTAGGGGACCGGAATTTCCACTACCGAAAAATTTTCCTATAATTATTCCCTCGGAAAGGGCTTTCGATTGTGCTACGGGCCTGCCCAATCCGCCAAATTTTGCGAAAAAAAAACCGGCATGACCCCTCTATCCATAGGTTGAAAAAATAAATTTCAGCCTTTTTTTCAGCCTTTTCAAAATTCAGCCTTTAAATTTCAGCCTAAATTTCAGCCTTTAAAATAATTTATTAAAATTTTTCGCCGGTTTACCGAAATCAAGACCCAAAACCATGGGTTTTAAAAATGAAGAAAAACCTACATCCGTAGGCGTAAAAAATATGAAAAATTAAATAAAAAAGATTTTCCTAACCTCTGACTTGCGTTCTTGATTAATGAAGACATTCTTGGTAATTGCTTTCGCTGTAGTTTGTCTGGCCAAGGTGTAAAGTGTAGCTAAATAAAAAAATTTAAATTAAAAATTGTAACAAATTTTTTCGGGACTGGAAGGGGAATTAGGGCCGCATTAGACAAATTTCGAAAAATCTACAATTAAAATTTTGAGAATTAATAAAAACATGAGGCTTTAGACATAAAAAAAGTGAAAAGTCGACGGGAAGTTTTGGGAGCCCAGCTGTGGTCGCTTAACGTTATGGGCCGAAATTTAAAAAAAATTGGGCATTTTTTTCCCGAGATTTCCGGCTCAACCTTCCTATAAATGCAAAACGCATACTCTTTGCTAGAAGAAATCTGGTTTCGTGACCTTTTAAATGTTAGATAACCGGGGGGAAATAAAAAGAACTAAAATCCAGAAAAATTCGCAAGATTTGCGGACATGCAAAAAGGAAAAAATCTTTAAGGAAGCAATTTAAAAAAATAAAAAACCTCTCGCGTTGAATACTTGAAAGATACGCCGACTCTAAATGTTTCCACCTCTGCGGTTTCACGTCCTCTTTTATCTCTTAAAAGAGATTTGCAACTTTTCTTCACAGTACTTGTTTGCTATCGGTCTTGCAGCAATGTCATCTTAAAAACTAAAAAAATATTTTTTTGGTAAAAAAATAAAGTGGCAGTAAAAAAGGGAAATTAATATGACAAAGAGCCATCGCTAACTATGAGTGCAAAGGTAAAATTTTTTTGGTACCATTCGATAGAGGACCCCCAACTTTGTATTGTGCGTGATAGTTTTTTTTTAAAATGACTTTGGACCGATTTATGACCGTTCAAATTTGCGACCATTGGGAATTCAGGTCGTAAACTTGCAAGGACGCAGGTCGTAAAGCCAAAAAATCAGGCCAAAAAAAAACAAATAGGCAGAAATAAAGCAACCCCCTCCACTATCCGGGAGCAAAAAAAACAAAAATAAATAAAAAATAGGTGTAACAAACCTGATAAATGAATACTTGAAAGATACGAGGACTCTATCCGTTCCCACCTCGCCGGCTGCACGTCCTCTTTAACTTCTCTGCAAAGTGCTTTACAACTTTCTTTCACAGTACGTGTTTGCTATCGGTCTAGTGGCAATATTGAGTCTCCTGGCAATATAAAAAGTTAATTTTAAGAAAAAATTTAAAAAAAATGGAAACAATTTTTGAGAATTTTGGAAACCGAACTAAGAAAGTATTTTTGACGATCATTCAAGCGCAAACGCCTTACAAAAGAAAGATACAGTTTTTAAAATCCCCAAATTTCCCAAATTTCCACTCCCCAAATTTTTCTTTTCCCGAAATTTGCGGCTCAACCTTCCTATAGACGTAAAACGCATACTCATTGCTGGGAGAAATATGGCTTCTTGACCTTTGAAATTTTAGATAACCACAGGGAAATGAAAAACCTAAAAAGCCAGAGAAATTCTCAAGATTTGCGAACCCGCAAAAAGGAAATATTCTTTAAAAAAGGAAGAAATCTAAAAAATAAAAACCTCTCGCGTTGAATACTTGAAAGATACGCCGACTCTATCCGTTTCCACCTCGCCAGTTTCACGTCCTCTTTAATCTTCAAAGTGCTTTACAACTTCACTTCACAGTACTTGATTGATATCGGTCTCGTGGCAATATTGAGTCTTAGAAATATTAGGTTAATAAAACATTTAAATTCAAATAAACCTGCCACTCCAAAAAAGGCAGCAAAACGCCACCTCTATCCGTTTCCACCTCACCGGTTTCACGCCCTCTTAAACTCTCTCTTCAAAGTGCTTTACAACTTTCCTTGACAGTACTTGA